ATTTGCATACATTTGCCTCCTGCTGCATATTTCACGTAACGGGTGCATATTTTGCATTTTTTTCAATTTTTGTGCTACTTTGAAAAAAAAACTGCAATTCGATCGGCATTTTTCTAGAAAGACGAAATTTCATGAATCATATTGCAAATATTGTCCTGAGCTTCAAATAACTGGGAAAGGTTTGGGTTTTATGGTAGTTTGGAGGAACCACTGGGTGTTAAGCCATCCTTCCAGGTAAATTCGGGTCCTAATTACTTTTGGAAATACCGTTCATTTCAATATTTTTGTTCGTTACTTAAGTGTATTAATGGTATGTTTTATGGTGGTCGAAGGGACGTTATCCTATTATTTTTCATCGTGAGTTTGCATTTCAGTATTTAAAGCGATAGAGATGTGTGTCAATATGTAGATAACTCAAATTAATTTATGAATTAAACTTTTTCCTGAACTTATTCTTCAAGAAGAAACTGTGTTTTGTTGTGCCTGCTCTAATCCGATAAGTATTTTTACATCTGTGGACGCAGTACGCAGTTTTTCTATTTACAAATACATACTTTAGAATCACCGGAAAAATTTTTGTTAGAATATTTCGAAAAATATTTAAAAATAAATTGTTACCAAAATAGTAATTAAATAGTCGATTACTACTATTTTTTAATTCGTTCTGTTTACCTATATTTATTTTTTAGTATAAGAATATTATCTTAAAAAATGTCATTTATTTGTCAGTGAGATCTAATTAAACACTTTGCAATGTGATTTATGTATTTTTTGTAATAAAAGGTTTTTGCAATTTGTAAATAAATTTAGTTCGGTTATTACGCTTTTTTTATTTTTGGAGCATAATTATGCAACTGCATATCTCTGCATATATTAAGAAAGTTATTGCATATTTGCATAAATTTGATGCATGTCATATGATCATATTTCCCAAAATTTTGCTGCATATTTTCCGCTCTCTAGTTATTATACATACACTCTATTACCAACATTAAAAAAAGTCTACACTATTTCGTCAATCTGCTGCTTTATTATCAGTTTTCATTTAGCTACATATTGGATATGAAATTAAGTGAATTTTTTGAATAAATAATAATTTAAAGATCAACCACGAAAATACTCAATTATAATTATACATTATACATTACCAGTTTATTTTAGAGCCCAAGAGTACATTGGAAAAATCAAACTTTTGAAAATTTAATGTTAAACAGATATACCTATAACTGAGTGCGAAAGTCAATACACAAAACTCGATGATCAATTATTGTTTCGTATTCAAATTATTATTTATTTTCCTTACGATCAAAGTGAAGAAGTTATCTAATTCATTTTTATTTAAGAACGGTATCGCTGACCTTGAAATAGATTAGTTTTTTAATTTCGATTTTTTTCTTTGTGTTGCTTTTGTTGCCGATCAACATATTTTGCATTAGAATTAATAAAATGATGAAATATATCATTTTATTTTTCGAGCTCATTTCAAAATTCTGTATATGTATAATTGTTCCCTTTTGGCAGTGACGCATAGGCAGAGGTTAAAAAATAATGTCTCATTACTAGTCTTAATTGGTATTACCTGTTAGATGGGACATTTTTTAATTCTGATCATAAACTATGTGCATTAAGTCTCTTCTTCTGTTTTATAAAGCGCAGGTCGTTATGGACGTATAAAAATAAAATTATAAATACATGTAATTACAGGAAATATAATATGAAAAAAAAAAAATTAAGAGCAACTCACTATTGGCGTCATCTCGCTTGTGCAAGATTTAAGACAGGGAAGAAATTTCTTTTTTTAAGACTCAGCATCTTTTGTTTATGAATATACTATTTACTTGCAACACAAACATAAATAATAAATATAAAATAGAGCTATATAATACTCGATATGTATGTTTTTAAATGTTTTTTGCTGTTGCCCTGTCAGAAACGTGAATTTTCGATTTAACATGCCATTTTATAAAATGAACTGAAAAACACTTTACATAATTAACTAATAACAATAAAACATTCCGAAGCATGTATATATATATATATATATATATTAATCAGATATCTAGTAACTATAGTTAACATTACTTATTGGTTACATAACCGTAGTACTCCATTGTGACGTTACAAGGCTTACCTGGCAACTATATCGCTGCGACACAATAATGAGATATCTAGTAAATGCAGTTAGCATTAGGTGTTAGTTACAAAACAGGAGTACCACAGTGTGATGTTTAAATGCTTATGTGCAAGCTATATCGCTGCGACATAATAATGAAATATCTAGTAAATGTAGTCAACATTACGTGTTGGTTACATAGCATGAGTACTCCATTGTGATGGTATATAGCTTACGTTCCAGGTATATCGTTAAGACATAATCATGCGATGTACTTATTGTTCTTTTGTGAGTACGTACCTGTCACGTCAACATCACAACTGTGTTTACTGGGTTATACATCGGAAGAATGTCACGTAGACATTTATTTGATTTGAATGAGTTTATCGCCTCAAAACAGACGACTAAAATTATTCATAAGCCTCATTTAACAAAATATTCTGAATGTTGTTTTATTATAATTTTTACTTTATCAGTATTTTATTGTTATAAAGACGAGCGTACTCTCACATTTTACAGAAAATGGGGTGGCTCGTTTTTGATTTGGTGAATATTAAATTAACTGATTCATTAATTTTTTGAGTCGCCTTGAACAAGCAAATCTAAAAAATATGAATGCAATGATTAGTTCCAAATATAGTCTGATCATATTTTGCATATTTGCGAAAGAATTTATTCGGCAAAATTTTGAGATGACGTAATCAATTTTTTGAGGTTGAGAAACAGATACATTTTGATTAAAAAGTTACCATGCTTACAATAACTTCAAAACGTCAAGATTTCAAAGTACTCAGTTTTGTAAGTCTTTATTTAATCAATAAAATATATTGACTCAGTCATTAAGTTTTTTCAGACACCCGTACAAGCACATTTAAAAAATGTTAATGCAGTGATAAATCACAAGTATAGACTCATCACATTTAAGATAGCATTTTTTCAGCAAAATTTTGGAGTGGCGTCATCAATTTTTTGGACAGGATAAGCAAATACATTTTGATCAAAAATTTGCCATACCTATGATAATTTTAAAACATCTCCAAGATTTCAAAGCATTCGGTCTTGTAGTTCCTGATTAAATCAATAAAATAAAATTACGCATTCATTTTTTTTTGAGTCACCCTGTATATGCAAATCCAAAAATATGAATGGAATGATAAATCACAAGTACAGACTCATCATATTTTGTACAGTTTAGATTGGATTTATTCAGCAATATTTTGGGATGGCGTAGTCAATCTTTTGGAGGGGATGAGCAAATACATTTTGATTAAAAATTTATCATGCTTATCATAACTGCAAACCATTGGAAAGATTTCAATGCAGTCGGTTTTGTACATTCAAAATTAAATTGCAAAATTTTGTGTCATAATTTTAATATTAACTGATAAAAACTGAATGTTTCGGGTAAAAACCTATAAACTACATGTGTAGTACTATGTTGTTTTATACAATTTAAAACGCATTAACTATGTACAGTTTTGAAGTGACGTCATCACCTTAGTGGTGGGGATGATTAGACAAATTTTGGTTAGCGTTTTACCATCTACATGATATTCCTAATATAAATGCAAAATTTGACAACAATCGGCCCAGTATTTTTGGAGATTATCTGTCTAATAAAAATCCGGGACGCCAGGCAGATGGACAGACGAACAGACAGACGGACAGATAGACGGACAGGCAGACGGACAAACAGACGGACAGAAAGACTTATTTCTTCGTACTCTAGAGATCATGAAAGGTCGAGAAAACGTAAAAGTAAAGGGTCGGCTGACGGGCTCGATTACAATAGTTCCTTCGGTTACGCTCGGGAAGTAATAAAATTATACAATATTAATTAAATATGAAATAATATGTGCCAAAAATGTGGGTTTGACGTTTGATGATGACGCACGATTCAACAGTAATGTTTCTGCTTTGATGGAAAAAAGGATATATGCTCTAAAGTTATTTATTATATATTGCCATTATACTCTATTAAATTTCAAAATACAGAAAAACCTTGTGAAAGCCTAATTTTATCATTATCAGTTATTATCAAATACAAAATTAATCACGTCTTTAAATATCACTTAGTCATTTTTATTTTCCAATTGTTTGTTATTTCCTGACCTCTATATTTGAGAGAGGAATTCTATTCTAGTAGGAGCCTACATGATGTTTCGTTACGTCGTGCTCATAAACTTATCAGTTATCATGCTAGTCTTCAAAACGGCATTATTTGAAAGATCGTTAAACATTTCACTGTACCAAAGTATAAAATACCCTTGATTTTTTTGGAAATAATTTAACCTTTAATAGTTCCCATCTCAAAATAAAGAAACTTCCTTTATCTGTCTGACAATATGGTCTCCCTACTTAAGGTTTATTTAAGTTTTTATTTACTTTTGATACTTGTTTATTTTATTGTATAAATCTTATAAGTTTTAGTCCACGTTGATTTTGTAAGAAAATATACATATTTATTGTTTTTGTTTTCAAGAAGTTAATTGCGCATATCTTACGCTAGACTTCACCTCTTCCGCATTAAATAAGGGCCTATTATTATTATGACTACCTATTCGTTGTCCATTATAGTCTACCATAATTTTATATTTATGTCTACATTTCATAAATATTTTTTATCGTTTCATCATTATGGTTCCTTCCTCCCGTTAAGATATACATACATATTTAAATATAAATTTTAATTTTAATTTACCATTAAATGGTTAATTTTTTATTCGTTTGAATTCAATTCCACATTTAACATATGTACAGGGGTAGGAAGAGAGTAAATTCATAAATAAAATAAAATTTAACGTATTTAACATTTAATTTAAGCTCATTTCATCTTAATTGAAAATTAACATAATTATTTTATGAAAAATATAAATGAGAAAAAAATTGTAAGACATAGAATATATCACATCAATAACATAGTCATAACAATGAATATATGCTCAAAGCATGCATTTGTTGCTAAATTACTTTAGACTAATATTGTGGCAAGATCTTACGGTAAACTATAAGCATTGTGTAAATTTTTATAAAAACTAAAATTGTAGAGCAAACAGAACGAATTAATAATCACACTCACATAGAATAAATACTATGTGAATATGTTAAACATATAAAAATTGTATTTTAAGAACAAACTATATAAATTCAAACAATATAAAAAAAATAAGCAACAGTAAATAGTTTTCCGTCCTGTTCAACTTTTTTTCACTTTGTGTTCTTAGGTTACACTTCCTTGAAACCACGTCTATTGTAAGTCAGCATTAATTAGTACTTTCTCGTCTTATTTTTAAACACAATAGATTTGATAATCATCTACACAACAGGATTACGGTGAAAAAAAGTTTTCGGCTAAGAAAACAGTTTCATTGAAAAAACTTAAACTGCAGTACATATGCATACTCCTACTACGAAAAAATACAAACGTAATAATACAACATCTTCTTACCCACAGTAACTTTCCTCATTTACTATTTTTACTAACCTAACGTTAATCTTCTACGGCAAGGTCAGAAAAGTGAATACGTAAATATGTACAAAACCCCAAACTCTATATTTTCGTTTATCCTCATCAACTTTGTACATGATTTTCATGTCATATACCCATTTTAACACCTACTGTTTTGTTACAGTTTCTTCTTTATTAAGCACTTCAACAGCTTGCACTTTTTGCTGCCTTAGTAGCTGATTATTACTTTGGGCAGCTTGGTTGGCTCTTTCTAATTTTCTTGCAGCAAAATCTCTCAAACTTTGGAAAGCAGGCCTACTACTTTGAACCAAATTATTCACAGCATTTAATGTCGATATCGGAATCTGGAAATGAAAAAAATGGTGTCATATCATTAGGCCTACGGAAGAAAAAAGTTAAAATGAATCGGCGAAAGCGTCTGATGGATGTGTGAAACGTATTTTTCTTTGAATGAAAACTTACTCGATCCCTACATTATCGCTGTTATAACTTTCGTCCGATTTATCCTGAAGAAGTATTCACCCTGGCCAAACTGTTTCTGTTAAAAGTAATGTAATTATAATTAGGAAACTGTTAACTGTACCAAAAAAAAGTAAGTTAGAAGGAGTGTTGCCGGAAACTTTAGTTGTGTCAGCCTCAAAGATTAATTAAAATTTACATTAGAGAAAGCAATGTCATCTTAACCAGAAACGGAACGTGTCAAAGAGTTTGGGTCTTAGGCCTACTTTTTATTTTCTTTTACAGTTACGACGTGTACCGTTTTACTTACATTGAATAAGTTGTCTATAAACCGAGATCTTTGATCTGTTTGCCTTTTACCTCGAACGTCGCTCCCACCAACTTGTACTTGAAAATTGTATTCATTGTCCTAGAAAATAAACACACTTTAAAGATGGATTTTATGCATAATTTTATACGAAAACAACATTTGGATAACTGCTCCATAATTACATAATCTCATGTTATCTTGTAATTTATGACGATAAAATTTACTTTCTCTAAAGAGAAAATGCAGATAGCTTCCTATTTTTTTGCAACAGAAATGTTATTCTGCGGAAATGTGATTATTTAATGTTACGTCTACATAATTGTATCATTATACTGCTAAGGTACATGTTTAAATATTATTATGTTATATAGCACAGAGAATTACTTTTCATATTTCATCGAATTTTTCAAGTTTAGATTTCATTAATAAGAAAAGATTAATGAAATATAAATTTTCGAAATGTTAAATTCAGTTCCAATGATAATATTACATTTTAATATATTTATATACCTGCTTGTAAGCGATGTCACCGAGGCCTTTAGGTGTATCCACAACTCCAACTATTTGAAGTGCTTGCGTGGTAACAGCTGTTATTAGTAACATCCATACAATTTTGTCGAGAACGTAGACAACAACCTGAAAAAAGGCAAACGGGAAATGTTTAAACTTCCTAGATACTATCAAAAATATTGATTAGTTTTCTGAGAAAATGGAGTCATTCTCATTGTGTTCGACTTTGTTTTTCGGGTAATGAAAGTACTTAAATTTCAAGATCACATAAGTTCACTTAGAAATGGGTAATTTATTCATTTAAAACAAAGTCAAGGTGCTAAATAATAATTAGACAGGTACAATTTAATGAAAACGATGAAATATTTTGTAAAAAATACATCCAGACTAACTGAAAGCGGTGCCACTGTTTTAGAAAAAGGAAATAGGTCTAGTTTTGTATACTTACGTAATAGAAATCAAGAGAATTATATTGAATTGTTGAAAATATCCTGAATAATTTGATTTTATAATTAATAATAAAGTTTTTTGGCTCCTTCTAAAATGCAAAATAATTTCCCAAACATTATTTTGATATTTTTAACAAAATTAAATCTTAAAACTTACTTATTAGCAAAAACACAAATATCATGTAAATCACAATAAATGTAACTGAATTACAAAATAAATGTGCGAGAAACATCAAGTGCATCAATGTCAGGTACTAGATATCAAGAGATTCAATTCAATTTACAGATTGCATCTCAGCAAAAATCTGTATTGATTTTATTGAGAAAACAAAAAACTGTTCTTAATTAGGACAGAAACTAGAACATACATTTGCCTAGCAGTCACATTCTTATAACCAGTTTTTATCTCCCCGTTATTATATAATTAGTATTCTTTGTTAACTAAATTTAAACCACAAAATTTTTATAGTGTTATAAAAAAAAAACTTACGAAATGATGAGTAAAAATGAAAAATAAAAAATAAATTAAATAAATTTAATGTTCGAAGTAATCACTGTTTATCTTCAGCTAAACACAAATTTGAATTTTAAAAACACGCCGGATGCACAGACTTCTAGAACTACTAATACCAATATAACTTGTGGCACACCAAATGATGCAGTAATATTTCAATATCCCAAAGATCCAGAATCTTAAACTATTCCACATCTTTTTATGTGTATATTTAAAAGAAGACGTGTACTTTGCATTTTTACAAGGTTGAAAAAGCTGATAAATCGGATTGGAAAAGAATGCCAACGTAAAGCAAGATGTTATTTTTACCTTTTTTTTTTTTTGTGAAAATGTGATTGTGTTTCGGTAGCTCACATTTTAATAAATTTTGCATGCAACACAAATCCCAGGTGTTTCTTTTTTATTATTCTTTAATTACGTACACATCTACATATAAAAAAAATAGTTCAGTGAAAACCTCATAAAGATAGTCCAACAGAAAATTAACAGTATATCACTTTGAAAAAAAAAATGAGACTCATTTCGATAAAGCTTGATTGTTTTTTCCATTACTCTTGATATCAGAGTAGATGAAGATTTCGAATTTTATTTGTTTTAATATTACTTCAAAGCTAAATACCACAGCGAATCACCTGGTATAACAAAAAGGAAACACTTAATTCGAACTAGATTATTTGTAATTTAAATTTTGCAATATTTTTTATGGACTCAACAATGGTGTTAACATTGAAATTATTGTAACTTAATATTAATTATTTTTATTTATTATGTGTTTGCCTTGATACTTTGTTTTGTGTATTTTATCCAGAAAAACAATAACAAATTTACATACATTTCGTAAACGCCCTATCGATAAATTTTCGCTCGAGCAAACTACATTTGAAGAAAAAATTAACTGACCTTCTCAAATGGATTTTTAGACATCGTCATCATTCTAAAACATGACAATAACAATAAGAATCCCAAGAAAACGCAGAAAATCTATTTAAAAATATATGAATAGATTAATTAAAAAATTAATCAAAGGTTTAATTTTTTTTTTTCAAACACACAATAATTGCACCCATTTTTTCATTATTAAAACTGTTACTGTTGATGTTATGACTTTGATAGTTTCAAGTTTCATGATTTTTTATAGGTTCCTGACATGAAAAGTGTTTATTTTTGGCTAGTGTTTGGTACACAGCATGAAGTAGCATATTTCTTATACTTTTTAAAATGTGTTTCCGTTAATCATTTTGTATACTGGTTGCCTTCAGCTTTTTAAACACAACACCTAATTTATTTTTTTATTAATCATCAATCAATTAATCAAATAATATAACGACATCTCCAGTTTAATAACCAGCCGAATAATTGAAAAGTTGGATATAACGCTATATCAGTGATGCGTCCTCAATTTTTTTGTTGTAGTTGGTCAGAAATTAATTTTATTCGATATTTATGCCTGATACATGACATAATTTCCAGACGATATAGCGTACACAGTTTAATATACGGCAATTAAAGTTTTACTTGTGAAAATTGTTAATAATAAAATCTTCACTGTGTTTGCATGTCACAATCTTAGTGTGACATAATGAAATTACACTCTAAAAAATGTAAAAAAAATTGTAGCGTGTTACTATTACGGAATGTACAGATAAAAAAAGTATCAGTAAAACCATAGTCTTATGAAATTAAGACAGATAAATACGGGTGTTTTGTTATTTATTATTATAATTATTTATGCTGTGTATGACATGCGACACTGTAATCTAACTAATACAACTCTTCCAAACAAGTTTGTAACATTTTGTTCGAAATTCCGTTGTTTTAATAACCGCAGAAAAAGCACTCCAATATGCGGTTATGTTTGCTGCTCTTTTTTCCCCGCATTCAAAGGTTCAAACTAAAGTGTTTTCAGTTTTCAAAAGTATCGCTATTATGAAATCGCAAAAGCAAATTTTATAATTTATTTAAGAAACTGGATTTGTCTTATTGTACTTCAAGGGCGAGAAAAGTTCTATCTAAATAACCTTAGCCGAATTTATTATTAATTTAGGTTGCTGATCAAATGTTTCATACAACCTGACGAGTTTATCGGCAAATTCAAGGCTTAATTTTTATTGTCCATTTTGGAGGTTAATGCAGTAAATTTAGCTAAACTTTTTAAAGGCTTGAAGATGTTTCAACAAAATGTGATCGGATAATTTATATGCATAGTTTTAATTGTTTTTTTTTTTGTTTGTCAGCCGTTAACTGTGCCCGTTTTTAATAACTGTTTCTACTTTAAAATTGAAAACAACTCCTATTTGAAAATTATCAAAATAAACACTAACAAAAAAATATGGACAAATGAATTCCCCATAATTGATAAGTAACTTATATATTTTAAGATATTTCATGCATGGGAAATTCATTCTTAAATTTACATAGAATTGCCGATTATATTTACAATAACATATACCACTCATTCATTAATTTATTCCTATCCCAAAAGCCCTTACAATACATTTGCAGGTTATTGTTTGTAAATTAAAATAATGTAAAACAGTAGTAAATTTTAGTTCTTGTAAAGGTAACTGTGATAATGTCAACCCGACAAAAGTTTTAAAAATTAAATTTTGATAAGTCTATTAAAGTAAATCCGATTGTTTACTTAACTACGTGCTAAACTCCACGTGACTTGAGTGTTATGCACAAAGATCAAGTTCTCTTACCTTGCTCATTGTCTTAGAAACCGAACTATGCAGTGCAGATCAACAACAAAAATGCCTGTACACTTGAAGAACCACTCTGATATTTCCGTTGAGTTACACAAGTACAAAATACTAAAATCCACTGTTGCGATAGAGATAATATAACAGTACCACCAGATCAGGTAGACTTCACTACCTTCCCGCCGATGTTTCACCGAATATGTATATGCCACCTTTCTCTCAATCACTTTCACATTTCCTCAACGTGTGTTTACTTCAGAGGTTAATCGCATTATACACTAAACGTCCTTTGTCGTCTCTATAAATAGCCGATTTCAATTGTTAATGATCCCTGAAATATGTTAATAATTTATTTTAATTGTAAAACGAAAAACATGTACAAGAAGTGTTAAGGTAGAGATACGAAATTCATGACAGTTAAACTGTACAAATTAATATATCGTACAAAATTTGTATAAAGTTACACAATATTCACTCTGGTGTAATTTAGTTAAATATTCATGTACAACGAGGTTCTTAAAGTGAAGAAGTTGTAGAGGACAACTTCGAACACAGCAATTAGCGATAACTAATTGTATAAAAGAATATAAAAACATTCCACTTAATCTTTCCACTTACAATACGTTTAACCCCTATTGAGTCCACTTGATTATCGTTTTTCGCATTCGCACATAGGCATCTCGCATGATGTGAGATAAACCTAGTAATCTGACCTCAGGAAATATGTAGGTTGAATACTTAAAAAAATTAGCTACCTCGACATTTAATCGTGGTTATACCACTTGTTGAAGCGATAAACGTGTCAGTGACAGGTTATACAAAATGATCGGATTTGAGACAGTTCCATTTTTCATTTGTATTGTGCCAATCAGTTATCACTTACGTAGTGTAGTTATTTTATTACGGTCACTTTTAAACCAGTTTCTAATGTGTGTTAATCATAACGGCACTCATATTCTCTTTAAAGGAATCATTATTCAGTGCATCAAATTTTAGTACTGAAATTACGCACTTGACAGTAGAGGGAAAGAATTTATTAACTGTAACAAAATGCATATTTTACAAGACCTCGCTCAACAGGAACAGATTCGTACAGCTAATAGATTAAGTAATACCAAATGTGATGGCCTAGAGCTAAACGTAGGAGTTTTACGTTATCTGAACTGAACTGAAGCCATAACTCCGGAACTGTATTATAAATTCGTAGAATTTTCGTCAATGATCACATTAATTACATAAAAAAAATTACAAATCATTAAACAACCGACGTCAAAGACTGGACGCACGATAAGGTCTGACGCAAATGCAATTTATTTTGTAGGTATATAATTTCGTGAATTTAAATTTGTAATTTAAAAACCGGCCGTTATAGAATTTGGCAATATTTGTGATTAAATTCATGTGAATGATTAATTATTCGCTGTAAATTTGCGCCCAAGCTGTAGAAGTAGCAGAAATCTAAATAACACAAGTACTCTTAACGTCAATTAGCGTAACTTCCAGTGAAAACCAAGTCATTTGTTTTGAATTAATAGTACCTAGAAAACAAATCAATGACAGTGCTTACTGTCCATTTGTCACGTAGCACAGTTACAGTTTAACTGACAGTTGCGTTGTGCCACAAGAGAAATAAGAAATTTCCATTTAATTAGTTAAAAACGTAAACCCGAAACCTCCACATTTGTGTAAACAATACTTGCGCAAATATGTTTTTATTAGCAGATGAATGCAATATTGTCGAAATTAAGGTAAATTATTTTTTCATTTGACATTATATGTATAAACTGTATATAGATCTCTAGGTAACAAAAATATAAGTGATATTAATTAAAAGAGAACTCGATGTACATTTAACAGTTACGTTCTAACTCACGATTAGAAAAAAATCTGGTCGAATGAGACTATGATCAGCGTATGTAGAGCATGACAATTATAGAGTTAAAAAAATGGAATGAGTTTATCCACATTAATTACAGCCTCCTATTATCTATTTTTTTCATCACACCACGTGCTATTACACTGTTAAAATGAGATTCTGTAATTTGAGCACTATCATTGAAACCTGCGTTAGATAACTAGATACAACAAAACTACATGAGGATGAACAAAGATCTCATAACAGGAATACATATGGCAAGATGAGATTATTATAATTATACCTACACAGAATATCAGAATATCTACACAGAACTGGGTCATGCGAATTCGAATGAAATTTGAGTCAGATTGCAAATTTCAACTGATTTTGGAATAACTATTACATTTCAATTTGATTTTATAACTCATTAATGTTATTAAGTATACAAGAGTACGAAGTGCATCGACAACTACAACGACATAATTTAGTCACTCAAAATTTAATAATCGTACACACGCTATTTGTGTATGCTATTAAATTTCTTAATCTTAAATGCTAAAGAATGCTGATCTATAAAATCATAAATTTTAAACTCTCAGTTCAAACTTATTAGTGATTGTCACAGTGACGGCTCCTGACCTTTTGAAATGGGTGGACACAATTTGATTGATGAGTTAAATATGAAGATGTAAAATAGGCTGTTATTATCAATTAATAGACGAAATTGTGTAACGGAAATAAATATAAAAATACATTCAATAATAGTAAAAACGTACTTATCCACATTGTTATTTTTTTCATAATCGCACATCCATAAAAATTTATGATGCTTGTTATCTCTATTAAAATATCTATGGAAGTTTCTCGTTTTGTCATGAACACCTTTTTCTATTAATAAATCGGGGGTGGCTCTCCCTCAATTTTTCACTAAAATTTTACCGTCGTAAGACAGACGATGATTTTTTATTAATTATTCAACTAAATTAATTATTTTTATTTAAAATCAAACAATTTTACTCACGCAGAATGAATGAATGAAATCCCGCAATTGAGTTACTGGTAGCGATCACTGTTCGAGCAGGACCCAATTCCAGCTAAAACAGCGACTAGACGCACGGTTCCCATGGCAACGGTGTAAACAAAACATCTAAATAACGCATGATTTGGTATCCGCTTTTATCAGCACTTCAGCAACATATCAAATATCCAAGACACAACATCGTTACATGTAAGTTTTGATACATTTTATATAAATGGAGCGAGATAAAAAAATTAGATTTGATAGTTATGACATAAATTTTTGGGTGTTTCTAGACGTTGTAATTTGGGGCTGGTGCTTCCTGGATTGTCAACTGTTGAACAAGGAAGAATTTACCCTACTCTATAATTAATTTAACTGAGATGTCTTTAAAAGTTGTTGTTTGAAGTTCAGTATAGGTACGCAGCTGAATTTCAATATGATGTGATTATTTTTTTCGTAAAATTTAGCTGAGTGGATCTCTGATAAACCACAATTTTATTGAATACAATCCTGAAATTTACACAATTTCAAAGCGGCATGCCTCGACTGTGAAGAATCGACAAAGATTCCTAGAGATAAGATTATTCGACCATTGATAACCTAAATGACACTAATAGGGCCATACCCAAAACTCAAAAATTGCGGAGGCGTGCGTGCTTGACTTGCAAACCTCAAGGCCGAAAGTTTACGTTGACAATTATTGTTCTTGCCAGATTGTCCTTAATAAAACTGGTTTTTTGAGAAGTTAGAGTGTCCTTAAAAACAGAAAATGGGTACTCTACGTCACACTTCACTACGGGCGTGTAATTAAAATAAGACACCAAGTTGTTGTATTTTTTGTTAATCGTAGGATTCCTTATTCCGTCACACAATTGATACATATAATCGAGATTTCTCTCATATATAACTTCGACTTTTTTTATTACACGATCTGCAAAGACACTTGAAATATTTTTTAAGCCATTTTTTTATATTAGATTTTGCTATATTTTTTTCGCAATCTGTAGGGCTTTTGGCATCATCTTTTAAAAGAAAAAGAAAATCTTTTGGTTCATCAAAATTTTTGCTTAAAAAAAACTAAGTCCTAGCCACGTTCCCAACTGGAACGTACGAGTAAATATGGAAATTGTTCTTGTAAAATGCAACCCTCGAAGGGGCTTTTCTGAAGATCGTTTTACATGACGATGTAAGTAATTGATACGGCATACCGCATATGTAATGCAAGTAATATGCAACATATTTGGATAGATGTTTTTCAGACGACGTGTTTTTAACTTATAACAACACCTTTTTTTGGTTTTAGCTTGAAAAATATTGTTAATGCACGATACAGTATCAACATGACATTGTTTCAGCAGAAACATTTTCTATAACGGACGAAAATTACTATCGAGTACATGTACTGTGCAACGTCCTAATATGTCGACAGGTTGCTCCGTACTATTTCAAATGCAGATTCTCCGAAAAATTATAAAATTTAATTTTGCGAACTTTATTTTTTATGATAAGTTGAAAAATTTGCAAAATTAAATGTTTTAATTTTTCGAACACTCTGTATTTGTCCGAAGACAGTTCTGTGTAAGTAAGTAACCAGTAGACCAAGTTTGCTACGAAGTCACACTTACGAGCTTGTTTATATTTTACTTACTTTTTTATGCTTTTATTTATACCTTAGTTTTATCTATGACGTTCAAAGCTAAAATTGATCTGTTATTCTCACAATAATAATAGAAAACTATGAATATACCTACTAATAAGCGCACGGATAAGCGCACGGATAAGTGCAATGTAATATTAATATAACAGTATTGCATTCTCGCATTGTCCATAAAATGAGATGTGCCATTCTTGATTTGTTGAAAAAAAAAATGGAAACTCTGAGAGATGCGTACCTCGGACCTTCCATCTACTAGAGCAAATCGTCGTCCCACATATCCATGAGGCAGACTTACGTAGTTGTGTATTTTGTGGCAAAAGAAGGAGTATGTTTAAACAATACCCACCGTAACTAATAATAATAAACAAAAGCAGGACGAATTTACAAAGCACAAGTGTGGTAGAATAATGTTTTAATGAAATTTAAGTTTTGAGGGGATCTCATCACGACGTTGTTGGTGGGGATGATTAGGCAAATTTTGGTTAGAGTTTTATGGTCGTATACGAACTGCGGTGCAAATTTTGTTCAAGTATCAGGTAGTCAGATACAGTTGACCGAATTGCGGTACATTTCCGCCCGGGGTTAGGGGGCAGGGAACAACTGCGCCAGTGATACCTGTATAATCTTGGTAATTATTAATAATTATAAATATAAAAATAAATTCCGTGAATAAAAACGAAAAACGATATATTGCAAAAGATGTACTTCGTAGACATATTTTTATAGAATCTAAAATTGTTCAATGAAATTTCAAGGTACAATTTTGTGAAATGTGTCAGCTACAAGTTTATTATCATGTCATAATTGTAGTTAATACAATA